CTTATATGTCTTCAATTGAGGACGTGTGTGTGTAATATATATATTACACACACACATATATGTATATATATATAAAATGTATAACATATCATACATATTATTTATTGAGCACTTGATACATGCTAAGCACTGTTATGAGGGCTCTACATGTACGTATTACCTTATTTGATTGGCACAGCTAAGAGGTAGCTATTTACCCTTATTTTACAGTTGAGTGACTGTGGCTTATTCTTAATATTGTCCAAGCTTCAGCAGCTAGTGAGTAGTATAACTTGGAAGCTCTTGAGTTTGTGCTTTTAATCACTTATCATACTCTCTTTTTTAATTGGTCTAATGTTAATTTAACTCAAGCTCTTTATTATTCTAATATTTGATTTAAATGTTTATTTTCTCTTAAGAGTTGGCAGAATATGTGGCATTGCTCCTTAGCAATTTTCTCATCACTTAAGAGGAATTGGTTGACTCATTAACTGTGAATATTGGGGCTTTGGAGTTCAGTTTTTTGTATGTATTCATGAAAGAAAAGAAAATAGTTGTAGAGAAAGGAAAAAATAATCTTGGCAAAGAGCAAAAAGTTGTACTTTTGCAGTATTGCCTCCACTGCTCCCCAATACTTAAAGGATTTAGAAATGAGCTGAAATAAAGTCTTGTTCTGTGATTTTTCCATTTACTTAGAGAAGGTCCTTCCTATGCCCCACATAAAAACACATATTAAGGTATCTGTGCTTTTGATTGAGTCCATGTTTCACATAATGGAATGCGATATTTTATTTATCTGTTTAGCAAATATTCACGAGCCTATTATGTGCTAGGCTAGATGTCAGAAGTAGAAAAATAAAAGAGACAAAATTCTGTGCTCGTGGATCTTCTGTTTTAAAGAAATATAAAGACAATAAGAAAATGTTAGGTAATCGATGCTATGAAGAAAAAATATAGTATCACGGGGATAAAGAAAGAAGCTGCTGAGTTAGGCAGGGTGATCTGTAATGCCACTTCTCAAAGCCCTGAGTGAAGTGAGGGGTACGAGCTTTGGTCATATCTGAGCAAATGCATTTCAAGCAGAAAAAAGAAGTAGAAATGGGACTATGCCTTGCATGTTTGAGGAACAGCAAAGGGGCCAGTATAGTTAGAATGGCAGATGATGAGGGCTCAGATATTTGTTCTAATTGTAATCTGGTAATTTGTCTATACGTGTGATAAGTTGTGTGCAATTGTCATATTTCTTAGTGTTTTTAGTTGCTCAGATATACATTTAAAATAGCTAACATGAACTAAGGTTTATATGTATATATTATACAGTTATTATTTAAAATGATAATAGACTAAGATGACAATTTTTAAGATACTGTAGCCCCTCTAGTTATTCACTGATACTAAAAATACATATATTTTTAAAAATTATTTATTTTAAATTTCATAGTATCTTAAGGTAAAAGGAGAAGTGAGTGTCAAGAGGTAATTGTTCATGGAAAGATGCTTATTATTTTTTAATTATATTTTTTCATGAATTTTTTGAAGAACCCTCATACACATCCATTATCTATAGAAATATTAAAACATTATGAAATTATTACACTTTATCATATTTTCACAATAATAAGCAATCACCTGGTTCCCTAAAATTCAGTTTGCCCAAATTTCTTACTAGAGGACTTTATTCGTAAGCTTAGGTTCTGGGACAACAAGAAACTCATAAATGGCTAAAATAAGATAGAAGTCAGTTTCTTTTACAGAAACATTAACACTGCTGGAGTGGTATGGCGATTTTCATGGATCTAAACTGCGTTTATCTTATCCTTCTGTTACCTTTCACACCCAGTTTCTTCTTCATGGTCCAATATGGCTTCTTCAGTTTAGCCATCACATCTGCATTCCAGCATGCAGGGAAGACCTTCCTTTCCTTTTTCCTTTTAAGGACACTTCCCAGAAATTACACTTTTATTTTATATCCCATTGGCCAGATCTTATATACATGGGTACACTTAACTACAAGGAAGGGTGGGAAATATAGTTTTTTCCCTCTGGTCAGCTCTGTGCCTCTCTAACATTGAGGGTCTTATTATTGACAGGAACAGATAGATATTAGTGTACAACTATCAGTCTCTGCTCCACAATAGGCAGAAATTGGTTTTATAGCAATGTGCTTTTCTTCTGTTTTTTTCTTAAAGTTTGAATTATCTAATATACTATGTAATCATCCAGTGAATTTTTTTAATAGATGAATCTATACTATGACCTACCATACATACCTTTCTCTATATTATGTTATCATAGGAAGTCATTATTAAGGTAGTGATTAAGAGTATAGACCCAAATTGCCTCGGTTCAAATCCTGCCAGTGGTACCTACCAGTGCTACCTGCCCCTGGTATAACCTTGGGCAAGTTATTTTGCCTTTTGTGACACAGTGTCTTCACTTTTAAGGCAGATAATAGTACCTAACTAATAGTATTTTGTCAGGATTAAATAATTGTTTGTAAAGAGTTTAGAAAAGCTCCTGGCACATAGTAAACCCTCAAATGTTGTTAGTTATTACTATCAACTGGCAGGTTCTTAGTGAAAGCAGTTTTAATAATATCTTAAGTAAAACATAACTGTAAAAGTTATCTTGTAAAAATGTATTAATATTTTCACTATGGTAGAAGAAAAGTGATTGGATAACTTAAAAATGATTCTAAATTTGCTTACTTTATTTTAGAGTATTTTATTAGTTATAGTGAGAGACTTTCCTGTGTGGGGGAGCTATAATATTTTTAGAACATATTTGCAAATATATGCTCATTTGCACTTAGTTATCTGTCTTTTATGTCTTTTAAATCTGTTCAGAGCCAAGATGTCAAAAGACTATTAGCAGTGAAAATATCTTGTTTCCTGTATCTTGGGATAAATAAAGTGAACAGTGAACCTATTAGAGACTAATTATATGGCAGTTAAAAGTTGAGTGTCTTTCAAAGTGGAGCAAGGCTTCAGGATTAAGGCTTTGCTTAATTTATTTTTCCAGGAAGTTTTTTCCTGAATCCCTGGTTAAATGCTCCTTTGTGTTTTTTAATATAGTATACTGTCCATAATTCTTTTAGCACCTGGCAGATTTTATTGAAATTGTGTATTTGTGTATGTCTCCGCTATCACATTATAAGCAGTGTGTCTTACTCATGTTTGTATCTTTTGCATCCTACACATTGTCAATATAGAAGAATTAATTAACTTGTTGTACTGAACAGCAATACAGGTTGCTACTTCTGTGGGAGTTTTTATTTTAAGTTTCACGTCAGAAACGACAGTATTTTTTTTTTTCATGCCCTTAAATTGTTCTCTAAATTTGGTCATCTGTAACAAGATGTTTAGAAATAAGCATATTTCTAGCATAAGCTATTATATTTCAAAGTAATGTTCAGTATTATTGAAATCCAGTTTAGGCAAGCTGTGCTTCCTAACTCTTTCTATCTTATATCTCCTGTACATGTTTTCCTGTTTCTCACTACATACTAAAGTATCATAACAATAAGCCTATTTGGGTTTTTAGAGTATGAAAACTCTGTTTAAGAGGTTATTTAGTTAACTATTGTCATGCTGCATGAAACTCAGGAGTAAATAAGAGGTGGCAAATTGTCTTTTTGAAGGATAGTAACGCTTACTTGGCTTACCTGTGTTGTCTGAAGTCAAAACGTACCGTTGTTACATTAGAGCTCAGATGGAATGTGTGTATGTATAGGTATTTGTATATCTATCTATCTCATATATAATATATATATATATCTTTTTATGTCAAAATTGAATTATCTTTACCACTTACTCTTGCATTAGTAGATGATCATATTCTTCTACTTCATGACAGAAGAGCTAGCAGACAATCTCTGTCTTGTATGGGGATATTTGGATAAACCAAAGGGTAGAGTAGAGTACTTGCTGAGGGGGTAAAAGTAGATGCAGTTAATCTGTACTCTTTACTAATCATGTCACATTTATTCAAATATTTATTGGTCACCCTCTGGTGTCAGTGCTATCAGTAGTGTCTTTTTAAAGGGACTGTGCTGAAAATTGCTAAAATGCAATCTTAGACATTTAATTTTTAGCAAATTTCTAAATGGATTTAAGTGTACCTTTCTAATAATCTATCAGAGATTCAGGCATTAGAGAAAAATCTTATATTTTAATGGTCTAACAATAATAGTCATCCTTGTTGTTGGCATTTAATCAAACAAATGTTATAATGTGAAAACACTACATATACCACAGTACGTTTCATGCCCACCATTTTTCCTTCTCCAGAGGAGTATGTAGTATTGCTGTCCCTTCTGCATTTACTAAATGCAAAATTCTTGAATGAAGAATGACTCAGGAAATACTATGCTACTGTGATCACAGGCTTTAATATTTTTATTTTGCATATTTTTATTTTGAAATCATTTGTAAACTTTAAACAAGTTTGAACAAGTTTCCAGTAACATTTGTAGTAATACATTTCAGATGCTTTTATTACACTTCTTTACTTAAATACAACTGTATAAAACCACATTGATTTAAATGGCAAGCTATGATGAGTTTTTTCTGCTTATTTTTTATTTTAGCATATTATTTGTTTTTGATTTAGATATATTAATTCCTTTTCTTCAAGTTTTATTTTTGGCAAAAAAGATCTGTAGAGAAAATTACAGTTTTGAAAAGATTTTTAAAAATTCACATCCCATATTAAGTTTGTAAGACCAGGGTATCTACATTGATTCTACATTTCAGCAAGCAAATAAGCTTTATTCTATTGGCATTTCTCCCAAATCACATTGTGATTTTATGAACTAGGAACCAAGGTTAACTGTCTTTGGTTAGTTTTCAACTCTCAAAGATAATTTTAGTTAATATACCTTAGTTAAACATTAGTTTCTTAGTTCTTAAGAAATATACTGTGCTCAATATTTCTTTCTTACGTTCCCCTCCCCTTTTTTTTTTTTTTTTTTGCTTTTCTAATAATTATTCCTCAAACTTCCCTTTCCTGTTTTTTTAAAGGTCGGTTGAGCTATCCACATCCAGGAACTGACAATCTGTTGATGTTAAATGGTAAGTTTAATAAAAATATTTTGTTTCCAGTTGATTTATATAAATAAAAATGATTAAATTTGTTTCTCTGAACCTCCACCATACATATAATTTAATCGTATTATTATAATTATAAAAGCTACAATTATTCCTGTATGAACAGCAGAATTAGGAATCATGGTGCAGTCTGGTTGGCAAAGCAGTCATTGACGAATGTTTATGAGAGTATAATACAATTCAGTGATCACAGACATTGGAGGCAGTCCTACTTTGAATGTTTACTTTTTCAGTGTAAGTTTTAACCTTGGGCAAGTAACAATGACATTAGTTTTCCTATCTGTGAAATGGGAATACAATCTCAAGGTTTATTAGGAGAATTAAATGAGATAATGTTTGCAAAGTGCATAGAATTTGTTACTTAGTATAGATAGCATTTGTGTTTATGTTAACTAGGGAATATACTGGTGGGTCTATAAATATGGTGGCCACACTAACTTAATGTATTCTAACTAGAAATTTTACATAGTGAAGTTCACCAGAGGTAGGAAAACAAATTTTCATTAAAGTTTTTTTTTCTTTTTGTTGGACAAACATTAATGTATTCACAGAGGCAGAGGCCTAGTACTCAGTGCATCTGTGATTGTGGAAGTAGGGACGGAGGATTAAAATACTCCTTACAAAAGTATTTTTAAATCAGCATTTGGGTGGGGAGAGGGAAATAGGAAGAGGAAGGAATGGAAATAGTATTTAATTTAAAAATATAATAATATAGAGTGGCTTGAATCTTCTATTTCAATTAAAGCTTTATTGAAATAATTTGTCAATGAAGTTGGGAACAAAAGCTGAAAATAAGGCCAATGTAAACCTAGACCATGTGAACTAATACTAAATAAAGACTATAGTAGCAGAAAGGTAGAAATAAAGTCTAGGCCACTTGAGAGATTGTCAGAGTAGATAAAATTTTGTAATGAGAGAAAAATTGAAGAAGGTGAGGTGATTGATTGATTCAGCATTTGATTGTTAGGTATTGAGTTGTCCACCACATGCCAGCCTAGTCTAAGCATGGGGTTATCTAATTAGTGAGGATCTTTAGGGTAGTTAGGGGTGAAATTGTCAAGGTACTTCTGGGGCCAAACTGAACACTGTAGGCTGAAGCCATGTCTAGGCCAGACCTTACAATCGTCCAGTAGACCACATTTATCAGTTTAGGGAATTACATAGACTTTGACTAGAAAGGTAGTAGAAATTGCATCGAAGGACTTCTTCATTCAACTTTTTTTCTAATATGTAAGAGGGAAAAAATGTATCATTTGAGTAGCTGGTCTCTGACTCTAAATGTATGACTAAAAATTATGCTGTTGAAATTGAGTGTACAAAACTGAAAAATAGCTTGTAATTTTTATTACTCCCTTTGCTTGATTTATGAAATAATGGTAGTATTAGGTAACAAATGATTTGTGTTGATCTGACTTTCTTAAATATTTTTCTTTTTAACATTCTATGTGGTAAATAAAGATCACTCACATTTCTATTTTAACTTCTGGAAAAGCAATTCTGTTGAAAAATTTGAGTTTGTGTATGTTTTACATACTCTGTTAAAGTACATTTAAAAGAAAGTTCTCTATGAGAAAATTTGTTAGATCATTAATAGATGTTCTTAGATTGCTGAATGGGTAGTGAGCTAGGATGATCCAGAAGTATACGTAATCTCAATAAAATATGTCAGTTATGTATGTGTAAGCAAAGAGCTTAGTAGCCGTAGTGTTTTTGCAACTTACATTCTTGGTTACACTTAAAATTATTAAACTAATCAAAGATTTTGTCAGTTGCCAAAAGCCTTTATAATAAATAACCTAGATGTTAGGTTGAAAAGTGTTTTATCACAAAGTAAACACTAGAATATTTTATCCTGAGCAAGAGTTGCATTTTGTGGACAAATATGCTTTTTTAAAAAAATTATGTGGTCACTCTTAGTAGTCTGCTATTTGGGGCTACAATGCATACTCAGTACAGGAAGCTGTCCTGGAAATTCTGAACTTTCTCTGACAAGGGACTAGGGGAGAATAAAAGATAATGAAACTAGGACGTCAAAATGTGTTTAACTCAAGGGGGAAGAGAAGGCAATGGTGAGAGATTGGTCAAGGCGCACAAAGCCACAAATAAAGAGGAATAGGTTTTGGTGTTCAATTGCATAATAGGATGACTAGAGTTAACAGTATTGTATTGTATATTTCAAAAACAGAAGAGAGGTTTTTTTTAATGTTCTCATCACAAAGAAATGTGATAAATGTTTAAGATAATAGATATGCTAATTACCCCAATTTGATCATTGTACAATATATATACATGTCTCAAAATACCGTGTAATTTGTACACTCAAAAATAAATATTTTTAAAGTATGTTTAGCTTGGGAAGAGAGACAATTTGATCCAAAAAGAACTTTTTTTTTTTTTTTTTTAACTTACTTGGGATCATTGGTTAAGAATTGTGAGGGAAGAATCACATAATATTGGGTATATTTGTGGGGTAAAGAAGCATTGAATATTAAGGATTTAAATAATATTAGTAGACATCAAAGTTATTGAATAAAGAACTAGGCAAAGAAGAGGGCACTAAAAAGTAAGAAGAAAGTTCCTTGAGCTATTTTTTAAGTACATGTAACTGAACTATATTTCTTAGCACATTGTCTCCCTAGGAAATATACGGAATTCAGTGATTTTAGTACAAGTCTCTGAAATAGTGATATCTCAAAGTACACAGATCTTTTTAAATTATTAAAGTTTTTTAAAGTATCTTACAGAATTAACCCTATTAAGCAATTGGTTAAGTAAGTTTTGTTACTTAACCAAAAAATATATCTAATATTGTTGACTTTAAAAATCAGTATTTAGTAATAAATTTTGCATCAGTTTTTTGTTTTTTTTTTTTTTTTTTTTTTTTTTTTTTTTGTAGTGATTTAGCAATAGTTCATAGTGGTTGGTACCACAAGCAATGAAGCCAGATTATCTGGGTTTAAACCCAAATTTGCTTTTTCTATATGTGTAACGTACAGCTTCCTACCTAACTTCACTTTGACTCAGTTTTTTCATGTCTAACAGAGAGAGAGCATATTGCTTTCTTCAGGGGGACTGTTGTGAAAAGTGAGTGAATTCTTTCGTGTAAAATATTTTAGAACAGCTCCTGAGAGTAAATGTTACTGTGGTAGTGGATGATCATGAACACTGACAAAAATGACTTTGAAAGAGTAAAAATCATGTCCTATGAGTAGATGGAGTTGGATATGTTTACTTTGGAGAATATAAAATTGAGAGAAGACATAACTGATTTTTCGGCTATTTGAAGGATATTATATGTAGTAAACAAAGAAGGCTTGTTTTATGTTATTGTGGAAAACCAAACTAGCACCACTTTGTAGAAGCTATGTAGGACAAAATTTGGGCCAAATTAAAAAAAAAAAAAAAAAAAAAAAGGCAAAATAACTCTCTGAGGCAGTGTTTTTTAAAGTGTGATGCCCTAGCTCCTTAAAGTGCCCAGGATGATTTCTGATGGTTCACAGATACACATTAAATTAAATGCATGATTGTTGGAATTAAAGAATATTGCTTAGAAAATACAGAACTGACAAGTCTGTGATGTTACCTGCAATGGCGCTAGGTTTGAATCTCTTTAAAAAATAATATATAAATAATAATATAGTTATTAGATATGGAAAATATTGGAGGGCTTTGTGATTCTACCTTAATAGTTAATTAGCAGTCATGGTTAAACTTTTAAATATTGCTTCAAGTAAAGGATAAACGGAATAGAATAAAAAGTCAGGAAGTTGATCAAAACAGGTAAAAACATGAACTGTCTCTGGCAAATCCTTAACTCTGAGCCTCTGTTAACTCAGATATGTATAAAAAAGCTATAATGCCATACTTGCATATCTCCTGAAGTTGTTATATAGATTTTTAAAAATTTAAACAATAAAAAATGTCATATAAATATAACTGCCAGTAGGCTCCTAGTTCTGAACAGACTGTGTTCCTCAAATCAAGTTGAAATCAAATTGAATTGACTTTTGGAGACTACCACTATTAAATAATTCAAATATTGTAGAAGAATACACATTTAGCATCCAGAAGCATTATATAAGAATGTATAGATTGTCTAAAAACCAATGGTTAAGTACTACCTGAAGTTATAATGACAGCTTGAATGTTTATATTTCTGAATGTATAAATCTCACACCTTTTATTCTCATTAGTAAAACAATAAAACAAACCAAAGCACCCTCTGTTTTCCATAGTAGTAAGAAGCCATACAAAATGATGTGTCATTCAAGTATTTAATTCTCCTTAGATTGCACTGTACTCTCCCCCCACACCCACCCCCGTTCTCCCGAGGAAACTAGCTTACTTTTTTATTAATACATATGGTGGGTCAAAGGGGAGCAAATGGAGCAGAAGTATGGGAGGGGGGATGATATTATCAAGCTAGTTTGAAATTTAAATTTGCTGTGATTACCTACATCTAGCCATGTATGTGATTAAGAGCTTGCTGCACTTTTTGAGGAAAGAAGGTATGTATATCTTTGTGTTAAGAAAATTTACTCAGTAATGAAGTTGTGTTTTTGAAGGCAGATGCTCTAAATACACTAAATTAAGTCATGAAAATAGGAAACTTGGGTAACCATCACTTTTTGTGCTGGTAGAAGCGAGTAAATAAAGGCAGATTTATTTTGGATCTTGAAAAGGATTGTGATTTGGGGGTGTAATTCTCTCCTTAGTTTTGGCTTTATTGAGTTGAAACACGAATTTCTTTAGTTTCTCACTCAGAGAACTTTAACCTGTAATCCCACTGATTTGGTATGTTTGCCTGTTCCTTCCTCCAGCTGCAATAATTCAGCTACCACAACTGTGACTGAGAGCCAATGCATAAGTGCACAAAAACTCTAATCGGAATGTTAGAATTATCCTGTTCCTTTTTTTTTTTTTTTTTTGTAGCCATGGGTTAGAACCTGAATAAAATTATTGGGAACCCAGGATCAAATTGTAAAGTCGCTTGTGTAGGAGAGGTCTTCAGGCTTTTCTGAGTCTTCTTATCTTTAAATGAATACACACACAGAAACACACACAGACCAATATATTTTTAATATACATGTGCGTATATGTATAGTCAATTCCTCATTTTTGTAGAAATGAGGTTATATTTTTATAATGCTTTATAAAGTATATGTACTTGAGATTTAATGTTAATCCAATTTTTATGGATTTTCCTTTCTTTCTCTAAATTATATTCTAAATGAGTTTGGAGTCGCACATTGTTTAAAGAAGTCTTTTTTAAAATGTAATAGAAACTTAATGATTTTCTTTTCTTACTCTGGGGGTATCTGTAATTCTGATTCAGTTATAGTGGAACATACTCCAGCAATTCACATAGAAACATTGTAGGAAAGTGAGTACACACACCATTGCTTAGTGTGGTGTACAGATTAGTTATTTCCATGACAGAGAATAGGAAATGTTTCACATGTTTAGCTTCATCTGCAGTCAGTGCTATTTTTGGTAATTCAGAGACTTGGAATCTGAGAGTTGTCCAAAAAATAAGTAGAATAGCTATTTACAGGATTCTAAAATTCCTCAGGTATGAGATAGTTGGGGAAATTTTCTAAACAGTTATGTTCGTGCCTAGGAATGAAAGGATACTTCAGATGCTGTATTTATACATATTTTCACTATTTTAGTGTTGAGTAGCCTCAACTAAGAACATAATAGCTAAGAATATAAACTGGTTATGATGCCATTAATTTTCTCAGTAGGTCAAGAATTACGTGTCACATCGTGACTATCATTATTTGTTATCTGACTTTAAACTTGTTGAAAATAGTTTCATTTGCTTTATAAATCTTCAACCCTCTACATCCATGAATGAAATTGCCCAAAGTAAACTTAAACTGGATTAATACCTTTAGGCCATGACTAGGGATAAGCAGGAACCCCAACTCCTGATATTCGTGCTGTGAAATATTTGGTGGCCTATTGACTGTTACCAGGCTTAATACAACCATTAAGACTTCAGAGAATTCACTCTTTTCAGCCTATTCTTGATAGTGCTATTAAAATTCCTTTTATTAGTCCGATTTTCCACAGTTGATCTCCCATCACTTCAAGGCTTTTTTAAAGGCCTTTATGAGTCTTAAAAGACCTAGACAGCATAATTCTAAATGCTACTTCCACTCGTACCCTTACCCTAAACTAATATATAGACCAGGTAAGCTGTGAAATAAGTCTGCCAGGCTTTGAGGTAATTGGACAAGTTAAATGTGCAGAAGATTATATAGCTAGGTAAAAACACTAGAATGACAGATGCAAGTGAAATTAGTTTTATATATATATAAAAAAAACTCTGATGTAAGTCTTATTTATCGGCTTATTTTTTGGAAATGTAAATGACAAGAGTTGATAAGTTTGTCCTCTCTACTTTTATTATACAGGAACTAATGCTATATTCTCATCTCATAGGCACACTTCTTTTTATCAAATTCTTAGTATAAAATTAAAAACATCTCTAAGAATATATTTAATGATGTGAAATGTTTTCTTTTGATCTGTAAGTTTTATTCTTTGGGGGAGACTACATTTCTGACAATTTTTAAGACATATTTTGATTTGAGAGCTATTCAATGTTGAATTTTCCCAGGACAAAAAAAAAAAAAAAACCCTATGAATATTAATTAAGATCTTAATTTTGATGGTTTTTTGTTTTACTGCCTTGGCTTTATATATTAATTTCAGGTTAAAATGCTCATTGTGTATTCAGAGTTTGGGTTGGAATTATTTAAAAACAAGTCATGGATTTTATCAAATTGATAGTTTCTTATATTTTTTTCCCACAGGAATTATTTAAACTGCTAGTAATATAGATTGAAATGCCTTTATACTTTATACTTTTACAGCATTTAACACATATACTATTATCCATGATGATATTAATAGTAATTTGTATCTAAATCCTTCTTACACCAGAGGTAGACATATAAACACTTAGTAGAAAAAAATCATGAGCTATATAGTATATTAATCATTACCCTATGCAAGTCTGAACATGGATTGATTTCTTACCTTCTCTCTAAGCTGTACAGGTTTGATAATAGCAGTTTAATAGTGGTTTATTTTAGTCAGTTGTGTCTTTCAGTACTGCTTCTGTGCAGGGCTTGGTATAATGTGGATTGGATTTGCATAGCTATTTGTTGGACTGTATATGCCATATCACTCTTTACAATAAGTAGAAAAATAAAAATTTAATTCAAATTGTTTTCATTTATTGGGAAAATTATTTGGGATGATGTTTAACTGTATAGTGTTGTATATTCCTATTATGATCAGATGAAACAAATATTAATTTGTAAATTTTAACATGAATAAGAATAGTATATTTTCTATTAATTTCACAGAATTTTATATGGTTCAGGTGAGATATATATATATATATATGTATATATATATGCGATGAAAATGCTTTGTAAATGGTAAAACATCATGCATATGTTATATAGTGACATTACCATAGCTCTTAAAACAAAATAGCACTAATTTCCAGATGCCCACATAGCTTTTCATATCACAAATATTTGTATATGTGGGCTTACTTTTAGTTCTGACATTTTACAATTTGTCCTTTGTTTACATGCAGCAAGGAGTTATGGGCGAAGACGAGGTAATTCATTTCTGTTTGCTATGGTATAATTGTTTCTAATGGGGTTTTACTGATCGATGTTGTAATTAATTATTTTAGATATTTTATGCAATGTCTGAAAACTCACAGAATTGTATTTTGATTTGACCACTTACCAAAGTTTTGAATTCTAACTTTATTAACCTTTAAAGCATATTTTTTGTACTAATTATGGCTATTTAATAAATGTTTTCCTTTTAAACTATCCAGATTTTAACTATTATTTTAAAAGTTATTTCTATATCTTTTAAAATAAAGCTGCTGTTTATAGTTTGTCCACTTCAGAAATATGTTTAATAAATATTAGTTAAAGTGGCATGCAATATGATTTTTCTACTCTCTAAATCTATAACTGACTATCTTATCTATGGTTTATGTTTGACCCAGTTGAAAATCACACATATACCAAATAGATTATTTGTTAACACTGATTTATAGGAATCACGTTGCTAATGTTTCTCTGTCTTCTAAGAATCTTTTGCTCTCTCTCTGTCACACACACCCACACCCACACCCCCACCCCCACCACAGACCTACATTCACACCTACTCCTTTCCCTTTTCCTTCCTCACAATGGTATTCCCCTTAAGGTTCTTGTGTGATAGCCTAAGGAAAAGTCTAGGACTTGTGATCCAGGGCTATTATTGAACTCCCCAGGAAAGCAGCTAACTTTTTCTTCGCTAAAACTTTTACATGTGCAGAAATTGAGAGGGGAAAAAGTAGATGGGATGAGAGGAAGCAAAAGTAACTTTACAGTACTATATTATCCTCTAAGTGAGCAGTAATCATGATATATAGTTCGGTTTGTTGTAAATGTCACGTTAAATAAAAAGGGTTTTTCCTGACCTCTGATATCCCCCTTTAGGGGCGGGAGATGGAAAGTAGTAATAGTGCCTTTGATAAATTTTACATACATGTGCCAGTGCTTCAATTTCTTTTCATCTAGTCATGAGTGTATGTACTTTGAAAACAAACAAGCAAATCCATTTGCCACTACTGACAACGAAAACTAGTATTTTGTATTCTTAAGTGGTATTTCCAGTGTTATATTTTATATCGTTTGAATTTAACTTCATTTTTGGAATCAGATTCCTTTAAATGCTCGACCAAATCTTTTGGCTTTTTGGCTTAAAGAAGACTTAGAAAACCGAAGCTGAATAACTTTAAGGACTGCTATTAGCAAGCTAAGAAGAGAGGGGGAAAGTTTAAAATTTTAATACCTATTTTCAGATCTGTGGACTAGCTTACTTCACTATGCTATTTTAATATGGAGCTTCAGTTCTCTTGAAAACAACCACTTACCAATCTATGACTTTTAGGTATTTTTGAAAATGCAGAGTGATTTTTAGTGACTTATGTTTAGTCTAATTTGGCTTACTCCATTGTAAATATCCTGATGTAGGAAGTTCTTAGGAACAAGGTGTCAGGAAATCATGTTGTTATTTATGTTCTTTTATTTCAGTTAAGTATTTAAAGATTCTGATTATGATATTAAGAAAAGCAAAAATTTATTTTCCTGCTTTTAGATAGGAACTTCCTAACATTCCTATATGTCTCTATACCCTGGGAGCCATGAAGAGTTGTTCTACTTAAGAACTGCCTCCCAGCGTTGGAAGAAGGAAGACTCTCACATAGTTTAAAGGCTTCTGGGAAAAGTGTCCTGTAGGACAGAACTGACAGTTGTCACACTTATTTGGCTTAGTATAAGGGGTGATAAGCCCAAATTTTTCTCTCAGTTTATATGACATTAGTAATTTTTTTAGTTGGTCTTCTGTGAACAGAAGGAGTCTGCTTTTACAATTTTGATTTTGGTAGTCAGAAATAGCTCTGAGAGATTTTATTTGAATTTGAAAGTATTTTGACACAAAGTAATAAAATATTTTTTAAACATCCTGCATACAAAGGGACAATCAGAAAAGGGCTAGAAATAGTCTCCTGGCTCTCTTCCTATTTTCTACTCATTTTTTTTACCCATTCTATAGTAGATATAATATCAATCTCAGACTGATAACCTTTTAACCACCAAGGTTATGAGCTTCATGTTTTTGATTTGATTCCATGAAAGAAATGACTATTTATTTATTTATTTATTTATTTATTTAGTCATTTTTCTTTATTAAAAAAATGAGTCTCATATCATATATTTTGTTCATGTGGAATGTGTCACACTGACTTGATATGATTTTGCCAAAAATAAGTCATGGTCCTTTCACCAATGCAGTGGTGGGTAAACAGTATTATTTTTATAAGGCATTTGAACTTTTGGAGACCTAGTTTAAGAAGATCTGGATTTTTATGTTACATTCCACCTTTGACTCACCTTTCAGTCAGAACACAGAGTAGCTGTTTTCATTTAAAAGACTTCCCACTTGACCAAACCAAATTACTACAAGAAAGAATTTATATATTTAAATTTTTTAATAATGTCAATAAGAACTTTATATCAAGCTGACTCCAGATATTAATAAAAAGATCTTCTGCTTCAGAGCTGGGGGCAGCATTAGGAAAAAGGGAGCTAACTTTAATAAATGGAAAACTACCTCTCTTTTGTATTTCTTTATTCAGTATTTCTTCCATTCCATTCAGAGAATAAACACATTGGTCCGGGGTTGGAGCCGGGTGGGGATTGTAAAGGGAGATATGAAGTGTAAATTAAACTCTGTCTCTCAACTGAAAATATTTCTATATCAGGTTCTGCCCATTTAATAAAGGATTAAAGAGCTGAGCTGCTGTATTCCAGAAGGAATAAAAATATATATAATATTTTGAATAATAGAAATAAAGAGTACACCCCCTAATACCACCACTACCACTTTTATTTTTATGATTATATCAAGGCTGAAATCCTCGTCTTTGATAAATAATTTCATTAACTGTCAGAGAATAGGCAAGATCTCTTAAGCATGAAAAAAAGCCAGGGTAGGGCCGGCCCCGTGGCTCACTTGGGTGAGTGCGGTGCTCTTAGCGCCGAGGCCGCGGGTTTGGATCCTATATAGGGATGGCCAGTGTGCTCACTGGCTTAACCTTGGGGGAAAAAAAAAAAGCCAGGGTAATATTTTAATACAAGGGTCAGCAAACTATGGCCCATAGGCTAAGCCTGTTTTTATAACAGAGTTTTGTTGGAACACAATCATTATTTGCTCGTTATGTACTTTTTGTCTGGCTGCTTCAGAGCTGCATTGATGGCAGAGTTGAGTAGCTGAACAGAGAATGTGTGGCTGGTGAAGCCTAAAATATTTACTTTTACTATCTGCCTCTTTAAAGAAAAAAATTGCTGAAACTCCCCTCCTTCCTTAAAGAGACTAACTGTACCTGCTCTATACCTGTACTCAGCCATACCATTTTTTAAAGGAAAGAAAATTTTAGTGAACTTAAGGTAAGCATATTATTTTTAGAAATTAAATTTACAAATTCACATAGGGTACTAGGTTATAATTTTTTTTTTAAGTTAAATGTCTTGCTTGTCTTCTATGAAAAAGGGATGAACCTATTATTGGAGGGAAATATTTTTAAGTGATAGGTGTACCTTATAGTGTCTTTCTCTGTTTTTTGGAGGAGCATAACTCGTCAGTAAATCTATCTGATTAAACTGGTGATAGTTTTTTTTTAATTCTTGCATATTAAATAAAAATTATGCCATCATACTCGTGGGTTATCTACCCAATACTGACTGCTAACATCTTAGAAGATAGGAAGAATATTCATGGTAACCCTTAATTTATATAGTTTGTTTTATGTTTGTTTTTTTATTTTTATAACAACATTCAGTAGATAAAATTACAGGACAGGACACTGAGATCAAAGAACCATGCTCAGACTTAGGCTATAAATTGACTAATTTTGTACAAACATTTTCCTTTCCTCTTCTGCCTCTTCTTGTTGATATGCTGGGAAATGTATTATCCTGGAATTCCAGAATAAAGTTAAACCTGAAAAGTCAAGTATAATTTTAATGTTTGGGTGTACTAGTGTAGCCTTCCATGTCATAGTTAGTAGTTGCATACAACTTCTCTAACATCCATACATGTGTGCTACACATACACCTATACATACATGGAAACCAGGTATTGGAGGACAGCCATCAGTTTGTCACATAAGCATAATCATAATTTAAACTTTAGCTCCTCCAATTTAGAATGCTCATGATATAATCTTTATTATTGTATCGTGCAAGTATAGAACAGCAGTTTTTATATGAATATAGGAAGTTCCGATGTATTTTCTAATCCTTTTTATTAAAATATTGAAATGAGTAATTTGAATCACGATTAGCTGTCACAAACGAGACTCCTATTTGTGGTGGTTGCTGTGTTTCTCACTACAAAAATCTTTTTTTTTTGTTTTTGGAGAAATGTATATTTTTACTCATATTATAGGAATGATGCCTGTATGTTAGAAAGCTCTGTTGACCTGTTAAAGGGCTCTGACAACGTAGAGGCCACCTCAGACTCTGTCATTGGCAGTATGATTGGACAGCCTTTGCCTTTATTTATTTATTTATTTATTTATTTATTTATTTATTTATTTATTTATTGCTTTTACGTCTCTTGTTGCTACTTACATCTATAATCTTTATTGTGACTATTTTACCTTTAAAATTATACTGCACATTTTAGGTGCTAACTTAATGTAAACTATTTTACTTGCATTTGTAGGTAAGGTTTTTGAGTACATAGGTAAAAATATCTTCTGTTTTCTGTATTTTACCTTAATATGGCCTCTGGAATGTTTCTGTGCTTTTGCTCAAGCAAATATCTTCTATCTAGGAACCTTTTTCTTTCTACTCTTTTTTCTCCTCTCCCCTTTTCTGTCCAAAACTATCTTATTCTTTGTAAATCCACTTTTGAAGAACCCTTAGAATCTCACTTCAGCCTGCTTATAATCTTCTCTGACCCTAAATTCTCATATTTTCTACTTGTACCTTTTCTTATTACAAAACTTTAATTTGCCTTTCATTCATATGTGTGTATCTATGCTTAGTA